TTACTCTTATTTAATGTTGATGAAAAGATTATTTTTTTAAAACACGTATATTTAATTTGTACATATATTGAATCACAAAATAATCAATAATATAGCATTAAAAAATGTATTTAAATCATCAAATGATTCTTTTAAAATATTATTTTAATTATTTTATTCGAAAGAAACTAAATTTAAAATATCCAAAAATATATCAAATTGTCATTTTTAAGTGTGTAGGTGCAAACAAATGATTCATTGTTTTTTTATATATACATTACGACTATACTACGTAGCGTCGAACATGCAGTATGAAACGATATATATCTATATATAATAGGACTAACACGATTAGCCTATATTATGATCTATATCCCCTAAATAATATTGAAGCGAGATGGGAGGAAGATCCAGCGAGCTCTAAAAAGACCTTTCACCATGATAAAATTGCTATAAAACAACAATAGCAAATACAACAATTGATATCTTATTTAAACCTTAATATCTTTTCTATAAGGTTGTATAAGCAAATACAACAACAATTAATATAAAAACTTGTTTAGAAATTAAAAAATATGAAATACCGATGAAAAGATTATTATTTTTAAAGCATATACATTTGATTTGTATATATATTGAATCATAAAATAATCAATAATATAGCATTAAAAACTATATTTAAATCATCGAATGGGTCTTTTAAAACATTATTTTAATTATTTTATTCAAAATAAACTAAATTAAGAAAAATATATATATATATATATATATATATATATATATATATATATACAATAGCAAATTGTTGTTTATAAGAGTGTAGATGGATAATTATTTTCTAATAAAGCCCATAATTTATTATTTTTTATATACATTACTTTTATACTCGGTAGATTAAGTTTGCAATATATATATATATATATATATATATATATATTACTCTTATTTAAAAATCATAAGAATTTATCATATAAATTATAGTAATATATTTTAAAAAAAGAAAAAATAATCACATTTTAATTTTTTTATTCAAAAATCCATACATAGAAAAAAAATCATATTTTTTTAAAAATAATATTATATAAAAACATTAAGAAATTAATTAGATGTTTTCATGACAAATCAAAGAAAAAAACAATAAAAAAAAATTGCTTACAAAAGAAAGAAAGAAAATATTAAGCCGAGGCCGGTTGGCTCGGGACCCGCAAAAGTAGGTATACCTATGGGCCTTCGAGCCCAAGGCGCATGCCTCGCGAAATAGGCTCAACTGGCAAGAAAAAAAAGAGAGACTAGCGAGGCTTGCAACTTCCGACAAACTTGAATTCACTAATAAGTTCGTCTAAATAAACGGGTTTTTGTATTTTACAACCCTAAAACTCAATCTATCCATTCACCAAAATAAAGTTAATAAACTTATTTGATATCTTAAAAATCATTTTAATACAAATTAAAAACAAATAAAAAATCAATTATTTTTTTAGCTTTGATCTATCTATTTCAATCATTTGGTGATTTGAAACTATCATAGACAAACTCTTATATCCAAAATAAACAAACTAAATGGAATACCAAAATGGCTAGAATAAGCTTGGCTAGTGCTCTCTCTTTTCTCTCCCCTATTTGCACCCAATGACCAAAGTGCGTAGCAAATAAAGTTATGGATTAAAATAATAATTTTAGAAATATTAGGGATCAAAGTGTAAAATATTGTATAATTCTCCTATAATTGCCTGGAAAAGGCTAAAAAAATAAAAATAAAAAGTCGGGTTTCTCCACGATGCGAACTGAGTCTATACGATGCACTGCACGAGTTAATTCATCACAACTCTTTTAGTCTCGTTTTACTAGAATCGCATTTACGAATTAATGCTAAAGAAAAGCTTAAAAACAAATAAAAAACCAAACTTTGAAGGTTTTATCCTTTACGGATGAACTTCAATTCTAGCTATTGAAATCACTAATTAGTTAAAGCAAAATGAATAAATGAGGCAAACAAAAAACTTAAAAAATCATGAAACCCTCCAAAATTAAATGGGTTTCAAAGAGGAATGATGACCGATAAATACATCATTGATACATACTAAAAAGAAAAATTTTACATAAAGCAATTTACATCGGTAATTACCCGAAAAGGAAAAAACTTTATGCCAAAATCAAACTCGCAAAAACTCGCGCAAAACGTAAATCACACAACCCCATAAGCTAAAGATTTTTTTAAAAAAAAATAAGTGAGAAGCAATAAACAAAGACCCCCATCTAAGGCATTAATCTCATATAGGCAAAAAAAATTGTTTTTTTAAAGAAAAATGATGTTTGGTTGTTGATAAAATGAAGGAAAAAAGTAAATATTTTGCATTGAACACAAAGAGAAATGAAAAAAAAAGTGACGAGAGAACCGGATACACACAAAACACAAGTGCATGTGAATGATGGAGAGAGAAGAACCTGTAGTGTAGTAGTGGTTGGTGAATTTGGTGGAGGAGACAAACCGGATGGAGACAAGTGAGAACCGAGAAGCCATTGCAACCTTCGTTTTCAAAGGAAAAACGACCAATCATTTGGAGTCGAACGCTGCGTATTTCTTATGTAGTTATATGCCGATAGATAACGACGGATCGTTTCGTATTTTATTCTTTCTCAATATATTTTAATTTTTTGTTTTAAGAAATAAAAAAAATATATGAAAAGATTAATGAGAAAAGAAGACATTTTACGAAATAAAAAAAATATTAAATTAAGTATGATCAATACCGATCAAATAATTGAATAATAATTTTTGAAATAAAAAGAACCAATTAACTTGTTTTTTTAAAATTAAAAGGACTAATTTATAATTTACTCTATCTAAAAGAAGTGGACAATTTAAATAGTAATGAACTAGCTGGATACCCGCGTTATGCTACGGGGCAAACAACCGTTATATACGTAGGGCTAACGATTTGTATGGTGTAATGCGAGTAGAAATTTTATTTTTTATGATTAATGTAAATCGAATCTATATATAATTAATTTCTAACAAAACTAATGATATATATATATATATATATATATATATATATATATATATATATATATATAATACTTACTAGATATTCTAGTAGTATATAAAATAAATATACAAAAAAAACCCACTTAAATTGTATAAAATATATGGAAGTCAATAGATTAAAATAAAAACCACAACAAAATTGGTTTCGATAAATTATGAATAAATATATATAAAAAAGCAAATAAAACTTGTGAATTTTTTTTAACTTATTATCGTTTTAAAAAAATTGAGTCAAACTATCTAAAACATACTTTTAGCTCTCTCTCTCTTGGTGATGCAATCCTAAAACACATCAAGATTTAAAATAATCAACCAACTTTTTTTTTTCTATCATGAGATTGGTGTCTAGACTTTTAAAAATATGAAATAAATTAAATTATAGGAAGAAAAAAAAGGACAGGCTCGCACTTGGTTGTCCCGTGTGGCCAAGAGAGGCCACCGCACTCGAGCTCGCAAGTAAGGCTACTCGAGCTTACTTCTCCGAGCCTCAATCGTTGTTCAAATAAAAAAAAATCTATAACTTTTGTCAAACTCTAGCTCGTCGAAATCTTAGTTAAAAATTTATGGGTCAAGTTTCGGACCCCAAGAAACTCAATTTCGGCATTATTTTTTCTCCAAACACCTCTAAATAATTGAAATAAATTCAATAAACACTTTTAAAATCTTAAAAATCATTTTGATGCACATTAAAATAAAAAAAATACATAATCAAATTAGATTTTTTTTCTTCTTTTTTGGCTCCAATCTACCTCATCCGATTATTTGATGGCTTGAAATCACCATAGAAAACTCATCTTTCAAAAATACAAAAATATAATAGAGTTTGGCCAGCTAAAGTGGCTTAAATAAACTTAGCTCGGTGCTCTTTCTCTCTCCTCTAGTCTCTTTCTCCTTTCCTCCCTCCTCTTTACACCATGGATTACAATATATTAGTAAATGAAGATATAAGTCGAAATAAAACTTTCAAAAATATCATGGACCAAAATGTTAAAAAATTATAATCTATAATAAATGAATAGTAGCCATTGTTCAAATACCTCAATTATTTTAGTTTTCTTTATAATAAAACCCGTGAATTTTTTTAACTAATTAGTAATTTTTTTAAAAAAAGTTAAGTCAAATTATTTTTTAAGTAATTATTATTTTTTAAAAAATTAAGTCAAATTATCTAAAACACACTTTTAGCTCTATCTATCCCTCATCGAATGTATATATGTTGCTACTCGTTCAAATACCTTAGTTTTTTTTAGTTTTCTTTATAATAAAACTTGTGAATTTTTTAACTAATTATTATTTTTTAAAAAAATTGAGTCAAATCATTTTTAAAAAATTGATTCAAATTATTTTTTTAATCGATTATTAATTTTTTAAAAAATTAAGTCAAATTATCTAAAATACACTTTTAGCTCTCTCTCTCTCCGTCATCATAATTTATATATGCAGCTAAGCTACTCTTATTTAAAAATCATAAAAATAATAGATCGTATAAATTATAATAATATATTTAAAAAAACAATCATGTTCTAAAATTTTATTTCAAAATCCATATATAAAAAAAATCAATTTTATTAACAAATAAACTTATATAAAATTAAAAAAATTAATTCGATGAGAATTTTAATAAGAAACAAATAATTGAAAAAATAAATTTTAAACGATAAAAATAATATAATTAGATATATATGTTCAAACTAAAATTTTTCAAAATATCATATATGTTCTATTACCGTTGAACTCGTATGCAAAACTAAATAAAAATAACAATATTTTTTTATATTTTCACAGCTAATTCCATGATAAAAAATATAAAAATAAATTATTGAAAGAAAAAAAAAAAAAAAAAGCAAATGCTGATTGGTACTGTTTGTGCAGGCCTGCTCCATTGCTATCAGGATTCATCTTGTAGAAAGCCTCGGAATCTCTATACCCCACAATTCTCTCAAACTTGGCTCTCATGTACATGAGTTCGCCATCAGCTGAACAACCTTGGCAAAACACCTGCACCCATTGAGATTGGCTCTACAGCTTTCAATACCTTCCACTGTTTAGGCCCACATTCCTTCCTTGTAGCGAGACCACATTTCTTGCCATTGCAATAAGTCCTCCACATTGGCTCTTCCAACAGTCTCTCAGCTTTCTTCTCCTTTCCTTTCTCTTTGTCACATTCCACTGCAATTCTGACTAACCCAGATGCCATCTCTCTAACCAATCCACTTATTGGCGTAGCAATTTCAATAAGGAAAGCCGGAGATGAATTAAGATCCCTTAAATGCAAAATGGACATGACCACGACGATATCCAAAAAGAGTGCCAACAACTCGGTATCCGAGCCCCAATGGGAGGCTTGATCAGTTCTTACCAAGAGCTGCAAGAACGGATCGGAGCGTAGCAATTGCTAATGCTGGTAGTTTTTCTTTGGGGTTGGCATTGCAACATGACTCTTTACATTTTCCATTTTTTCTTCTTCGTTAGTCTTTGAAGAGGATCAGTCCTTAATAATAATAATAATAATAAAACTACAGTAAATGAACAGTAAAACCTCAATTCTTTTAGTTTTTTTTACAATAATTATAATGTAGAAAAGGAACGCAAAAATCTCATAAATACAGGAGTAGCATAGCATAGATCGCCACTTAGCTCGGATGGTAGTATAAAGATTTTGCATTCTCTGCTTTGTTCTGATAGATTGCAGAGACAACTGTTACTTCAAGATGGAAAACATGGCGAAGGGCATTTCTAAGTTATTTGTTAGATTTAGCTGCCAAAAGAACTTAAGCATGGACAGTTTTGGGTCCGGTTATGAGCCTCTTACGGCAATTTAGTGCAAAGAAAAGGATTTGTGCATAATTCTTCCCATGTAAGTTTAACAGCTGAGAAAATGATGAACTTGAGAAAAGGGAAACTGTTATGTTCAGTCTTTCAGTAAACTCCATTTAATGCCCCATTTCAGCACTCCAACCTTAGCCCAAATTGTATCGAAGTACCTAAAATTCCATGTTGTCCCCTGAGTAATGCTATAAAGTAGCTAACTGAATCTCAGGCATACAAAACCACATGTACTAATTATTTCAAATGAACTTGCCGAAATGTCTCTAGTTTACACTGCCGAATAACATTCTCCCACTTTGCACATGGTCTAAATTTCCTTGATTCAACTCCAGACTCTGATAAAACATGAAGAAAATAGTAAGAACAATGATTTTGAAAGTAAAAATGTGGAGATATGATTGTATGCAGGTGCATCAACCAAATCAATTACTTTGAAGCAAATCGAAACCATTTCACCGCCAAAATTACCCAAAAGGGATACCCCACATTGGCGGCATGCAGTGTAGCTTTGGGAGGGCAATCTCTACCCCGAACACCCACCCACCCCAACTCCCCCAAGGAAGGGGGGAAAAAAATCAAATTATGCAATATTAGTCCTTAAAGTTACTATTTTTCATTTTGATCCGTTAAGAATTATTTGTTCCCACGTGCCTTTGATCACCCATGACAAACCTCCACTAGCGGTTGTCTTCTTTTCCTTCCAGGACAGCTTTACCCCTTAAATCGTCACTCCAATAAAGATTGTTCATGGCATAAAATATGTATATATGGTTTCTTCAAAAATTAATTAAGTAATTTTATTAAGTTAATTTATGTCTTTTTTTTTTCATGAATCCAAACTACATAACAAATAAATTAGACTAAAAATAATCCTCATCCACCTCAAGGCTTGAATCGCACAAGGATAGATACAAGTATTCTTATAAAGCTAGTACATATGCCTTATCTTTAAAATAAGGTAGAAAGATTAGATTGATGATCCGAAGTAAAATCTGCTAAAAAAATATAATTATTACTTTCTTTAATCTTTGCTAACAAATTAAAGTATTTTTTTATTTCTTAAAAAAATCAAATTGAAAAAAAAGTAAAAAAACTAAGTGACAAGTAAATTTAAACACATGAGGACCAAATAATTAATATTTTAAATGAAAATAACTAATTAATTTGTTTATCCAAACGAGAACTAATTTATAATTTATTACAACATGATTTGACAAACCAATATACTTGACCAATCTTTTAGAAAAATTCGTTTACAAAATATAAGCGCACACTGACGCTAACCAACAGTGCCAACCAACAGCAAATGTTGGGTAGTTGGTGCCCACTAACAACAAGGGCTGGCCACCAAAGAAGAAGATAAAAAAAAAAAAAACAAATGAGCGAGCTAGTAGTGCCAACCAGCAGCAAATGTTGCCCAGCAGTCTCGACCAACAAGGGCTGGCGATAAAAAAAAAAAAAAAAAAAAAAAAAGAAAAAGAAAAAGGTGTCTTACCTCCTTTTTTTTTTGCGTCATGTGGAAGTTAAAGTCATGATAATTTTTCAAGGATTTTAAGCACAAAAAGGTTTTGGGCGTGACAAGTCCCCAAGCATTCGTGATTTATTTGCATTGCAAGGCTCACAACAAGCTCATTTCATGTTTCATTCATTTTTTTATGTGTTGAAATATTCGCAACAAATCTATTACAAATTCGCGACAAATCTATTACAGTTATTATCTCGTTATTTTTGTTAATTTATTTCTCTATCTCGTCATATATGATTGAACAAGCATTTTTATTGACAAGACTGACCGTCTCAAGAGCTAAATGTATATATTCAATTTTTTTCTCAAAATTAATTAAGTAATTTAGTTAATTTTATTATGTGTTAATTTATATTATTATTATTAACTTTTTTTTTTTACATGAATCCAAACTACATAATAAATAAATTTAACTAAAGATAAGTCTTGTCTAGCACAAAGTTTTATATCACACAAGATTGGTTTGATAGACTTGGAATAGAATCTGTTAAAAAAAAAAAAACTTCATTGTTATTTTTTTAATCTTTACTAGTAAATTAAAATAGTTTTTTCTATATAAAAAAAACTTTTCTTCAACTTAAATCTAACCGTTCAAATATAGATGACACTAGTCACCTTCCCGCACTACGCCCGATAGAAAAAAATCATTTTAAAATTTTAAAACTTTTTAATTATAATTTTTATTCACTTAATTTTTTTAATTTTTGCTTAAAAAACCATAAATCATTCTTCTTTATGGATTCATTTAATTTTAACTAAAATATTAATCAAGAATTAAAAAAACTTTTAAAATATAATTTTCATAATATTGTATTTCAAAAAAAAAGTTATAATTAATAGATAGACTTTTACAAAAATTAACAAATGAGAAAAAATTCTTATTTAATGTTGACGAGAACATTAATTTTTAAAATTATCTCGCGCAACGGTACCGAGTAGATAGAAAACCTAGTTAAATAAAAAAAACATAAATTTATGAAAATTATAAAAAGAACACGTAAGTAAAAAAAAATCATATAAATATAAAAAATATCATATATATTATATAATAGTCAATTTATGTAAAAAAAAAAAAATAACGATTGATTTTTTAAAATTTTAACACCTAATTAAATAAAAAAAAAGAACATAAATTGATGAAAGAAACAAAATTAATTTTTCAAAATAACATAAATTGATGAAAAAAGCAAAAGAATAAAACCATGTGTAGTGCATCGGTTAGAGGATTAAAATTTTAAAGATCAAAATAAAATAGACTTAAGGATTTTGAAAAATTAAATAAAAAAACCTAAATTGATGGGAAAAAAAAAAAAAAGCAAAGGGGGAAAAACATGTGCAATGAAACTAAACTAAAAAAAATAAAAAAAAACACTTGCCACAAGAATAGTGAAACCAAACTACTAAAAAAAAAAAAAAAAAACCTTGTTTGTAAAAGTTTGAAGAAAGGTCGACAGAGGGGGAAAAAAAAGTTAACGGGTAAGTGAAAAAAAATAATAACTTGAAAGACACTATTTATTGAACGAGTGAAAGGAACAAGTAAGTGCACGATAAATTTGCCTTCTATTTTAGAGTATTTTGATGAAAAAAAAAAGCAAAGGGGGAAAAACATGTACAATAAAAAAAAAAAAAAAAAACTTGCCACAGGATATATATATATATTGTTTGTAAAAAGTTGAAGAAAGGTCTGTGAGAGGAAGGAAAAAAAAAACAACTTGAAAAACACTATTCATTAAACGAGTGAAAGGAACGGTAAGTGCACAATAAATGTGCCTTCTATTTTAGAATATTTGTAAAAGTCACTTCCCACGCTACGTTATGGATCCGATAGAAAAAATAATTTTAAAATTTTTTAATTATAATTTTTTATCACTGAATTTTTTAATTTTTTTTTATATAAATTTTCAGCTTAAAAAAAAAACATAAACCATTCTTATTGATAGGTTCATTTTAAAATAAAAAATATAATAATTTTAACTAAAATATTAATCAAGAATTAAAAAAACTTTTAAAATATAATTTTCATAATATTGTATTTCAAAAAATAAAGCTATAATTAATGGATAGACTTTTACAACAATTAGCAAATGGAAAAAAATTCTTATTTAATGTTGATGAGAACATTAATTTTTGAAATTATATGCGCAACGCTATGAGTAGATAGAACACCTAATTAAATAAAAAAAACATAAATTTATGAAAATTATAAAAAGAACATGTAAGTAAAATAAAAAATTATATATCATATAAATATAAAAAATATCATATATATTATATAATAGTCAATTTAAGTAAAAAAAAAAAACAATTGATTTTTTAAAATTTTAACACCTAATTAAATAAAAAAAAACATAAATTGATGAAAAAAAATTGATTTTTCAAAATAACATAAATTGATAGAATAAAACCATATGTAGTGCATCGGTTAGAGGATTAAAATTTTAGAGATCAAAATAAAATAAACCTAAGGATTTTAAAAAAATTAAATAAAAAACCTAAATTGATGAAAAAAAAAAAAGGCAAAGGGGGAAAAACATGTACAATGAAAAAGAAAAAAAAAACTTGCCATAGAAATAGTGAAAAAAAAAAAACTAGTTTGTAAAAAGTTGAAGAAAGGCCGACAGAGGGGGGAAAAAATTAACAAGTGAAAAAAAAAAAACAACTTGAAAAACACTATTCATTGATTAATAAAAAGAACTATAAATACACAGTAAATGTACCTTCTGTTTTAGAGTATTTGTAATGATATCATCTTAACAATCAAAAATCATTTTTAATTCACTAAAAACATCACCCTCACACTTTTGTGAGGAAAGTCTTTAACTTTCTAATCCTTTGCAAAACCACTTAACACTCCCTCAAAATTTTTCTACTCGGCACAACTACTTGTTTGACATTTGACTTGCACCTTGGTAACATTGCTTATTTTTCTTTTCATGTCTCACTATTTATATCCATTGTATTTGATTGGTGGATCGCTATTTTTACAAATCACAACACTAGCATTCTGTATCATAACCTATCTATTATTCAATCCTCAGAAGCCTCCTCGAACAAAATGATGCTCAGCCATTGTTTGATCTCCAAAAGAAATGCATACCGGACTCGAAGCCAATCATCCTTCTATTAGGAACTCAGTATTCTACAACTAGAAGCCTTTGCCACACTGATATTATTGTCAAACGGCAACACGCAGAAAAATACCAGGATAATATTTTAACTGAAAAATCCATGTTATAGGGATTTGTATCATTCATTTTATAGTTCAATTTATCGATACCAGCTAGGCTGATGTTAAAAGAATTCTCCATTAATAATGGTGAGAATTGGACTAAAAGTGTTGCTCAGAGCGAAAATAACCTCCTGCGTGCACTCAAACAACAACTAGGACCAACTTTTTAAAAATAAACATGTTTTTCACTGCCATTTCTCTGTGCTTTTGGTCTTTCTCCTTATTTTTCCAACTCATTGACCAATGGCAAGTAAAATGTAAAGGAAGGGAGCAAGATTAAATAAAATACTTACATATTTAGATGAAAATAGTGAGTTGAAACAAGATTTTGGATGTCTATGTAAGAAATTGGAAAGTATGTACATTGACAAATACAAGCATGCGCAGGCTAGTATGTACAAATGTGCATGGAATTTGGTTTTTCAAAGACAATCTATTGCCCTAGGGAAAAAATGAAAAGATGAATCAAGTATAACATATGGACATGGTAGTTGATAATAGAAATCACCATTACTTTTCAGCTCAATAGTCAATACAATGTAAAGACAGTCATACCTCACATTCAAACTTCAGCAGATGATATAAGCGGTCTGTTCAGACTGTCACGTTCTGCAGAGTGCAAGTGCTGAATGGGCATTAGAGCCGGGTCCTGATAGGCGGTGGCCAATTTATCAAAAAATTCAGACATTGTAGCATCATTTTGATCTTCCCTGTCTTTCTTTATCAATACCTGAAAACACATATACAAGTCAAATATATTTGGGTGGAACATTAATTGCAGCAGATATCATAAGTACTGTTGAGAGGGGATAAAAGGATGAAAGCATAAGAATTAATATCCCCTTGGGCATAGTGTATTGGAATATGAACAAACCTCAGCAGAATAAGCGATAAAAATCGGAAGGAATCGTTTCCGGCAGTACTCATTAAACAGAAGCGTGAGGACTGGAAGAGGAAAAATTAAGGTTGATGCAAGAGAGAGCTTCTTCAGAGTAAAAATTCCCACTGCAATTGCATGCATGAGTACCAGAGAAAATATCACCGAATTGTGTACGATAGGCCAAAATTTCCCCGCAGTTTCATACTTAGGAGCATATACATTTATGAACTGCAACATAAATTTAAAGAGTACCAAATTTATTCCAAAATTTGTAAGAATCTACCACTAACATAAAAATCTTTAGAAATTGAGGAATGCAGAAATACAAACTGTGGTGGTCCCTTCCTAAGTTGAAAAATGTGATGCATGCACAAAAGAGTAAAATTTATGCGTTTTATTTAAATTCTAGGATGCAGGGGCATTTTAGCAATATCCAGGTCTGCTGGAAAATATGAAAAATGTATTTACATCTAGACTTTATTTCTATTTAGTAATTTATTTTATTAGTTTCAAAAATTATTAGGTTTTCAATTCTCAGTAAGACTAATTATGTTGGAAGTTTAGAAATCTAAATCCATATTGGATTTGAACTTTTAAAACTCTAATAGGAATGTAGTCTTTCAATGTTTTCAACGCAGAATTCAGCAATTAGCTTTTAATTTCACGACTCATTCTACCCTTAAGCAATCATCAAAATTAATGACAAAGGAAAATTTAACATATCCACACTTGCAGCAACCCACACTTCGATTATAATGATTACTTTCCCTATATTTTCCATGAATAGGAATGAGCTAAGCCCACAGTGGATTCTTACTAGCTAATACTGCTTACCCATTTCCCTGTATTTTCCATGAATAGGAATGAGCTAAGCCCGCAGTGGATTCTTACTAGCTGATACTGCTTACCCATTTTCGCAGTAGTAACCTTTGCTGCTGATATATAAAAAAGAAATGCCCCTCATTCAAATTTCCATATTTACCGATAGAATTGCATTGATTAGATAGATATCACTATGAACTTGTATATTTATTAATTCTAAAACATTTTAGTTTTTCCAAATTACAATTGTCTTTTATACTGATAAAGTTCTAAACAAAACAACCTACCCTGATATGATATATTTCGAAGATGATTCAAAATATATCATTCATAATTATATATATAAAAGCACAATTCCTTGAAAACTTTTGATAAACTATTATATCTTTAACACAATACTACCATTATAATTTAACTTAATACTAATATGTAACCTCACCTCATCTTCTAAATAATAAATAAGAAAGATACCAATATAGTAAAATTCCTATAGTAAACTCAAATATTATTATTTATTTCCAAAAAATTAGCTAATTTTGTTTTTAAATATATGCCTATTTAAAAATTATATAAAATCTTAAATAACACAAAACAAAATTCTTAAATCATCTCAAACCAATATTGTATTTTATTTTAATTATTAAAACTCTAAAAAAGTTTTAAAACAAGCAAATAAAAAAAATATAAATCCTAAAAAATAAAATAACATTAAATTTCAATAAATTATTAGATTGGATTCTTTGTTATTTTTTTTTTTAATATGAGATCTTTGATTATGTCTCAATATCCCTTTACTCCTCTAAAGAAAAGGTTCAAAAAAATTTACCATTCCTTTTGATAAATTCTACTAACATTAAAAAAACTCTTCAAACAAAAGGAGTTATAAAATCTTTATCCATTCACCCACCTTCTAAATAAAAAAGATATCAATATAATAAAATTCTTATAACATACCCCAATATCATTATTAATTTCTAAAAATTTAGCTAATCCTGTTTTTTAAATATATGTCAATTTAAAAACTATGTAAAATCTTAAATAATACAGAATAAACTCATTAAATTACTTCTGTGACACTTTATCCTGACTATTGAAAATCTAAAAATGTTTAAAACAAGTGAAAAAATATTTAAATCTGAAAAACTAAAATAACATTAAAATTCAATTGATTATTAAATTGGATTCTTTTTTTTTTTTTTAACAAGATCTTTGATTATGATTTAGTAACCCTTAACTCTTCTAAATGAGAGGTTTATAAAAAATTTATCATTTCTTTTGGTAAAATCTACTAATATTAAAAAAAATCTTTCTATCAAAAGGATCCAAAAATTTTTTTATCCATTCATGTGAATTAATATCTATTTAAATTGCATAAAATTTAAATAAAAGATTTTAAAATAAGATTCATCAAAGTCAAAGAGATTCTTTTCCGAAACACCACTTTTAGTATTCTAATACTAAATTGCATATCAACGTTATAAGCCTTTGAATACAACATTCATTCATATTAAATACCTCTTTTATTTATGGGATATAAATAAATTTTAGTGAAAATGGACTCTTTTAAATAAAAGAATTTTTAACTATAAATCAATAACTACATATTAAAACACAAATTCCTTTTAAAAATTTAATTGACTATTTTGTCCTTAATACACTACTAACAGTATAACAAATATTGACACTTATATGTAAATCTCAATCTGCCTCTAAGTGAAAAAAAATGAAGATCTAAAAATTATTGAATTCTTAAAAAATAGGTCAATCCCATTTTGTCATTATTTTTCTATTTATTCATCACTTAAAACCTCAAAAAATATATAATAAGTTTCTTAATCATTCATAAACTATATAGTATATTAATGACACTTTATTTTGACAATCAAAACTATAAAAATGTTTAATATTTAAAAACTCTAATATTGTATTACCTTAACATTATTTCAATTTCTAAATATGCACCTATAATGAATTAGTGCATATGTTTTAGTAATTGTTATTTATTAGAGTTCTTATCCTAACTATTAAAAATTAAATATTGACAAATAATTCAGATTTACATTAACAGTTTTTTTAAAAAAAAACAAAAAAAACCGATTTAATTATAACTTATCAGAATTTATATGAAATTATTCAGATTTTAAAAATCAAATATTTTAATATAATAAATATTCATAATTATTTATTTATAAATAATTCAAAAATCTACTAAAGAGAAAAAATAAAAAATAAAAACTGTAAATTAGATGAATAACACAAGTGCAAAGCACGCACAAAAAAAATAGTATTATAAAAAGAACGATAAAAAATTAAAATAAGAGAAGAAAAGAAACCTGGTTACGAAAGATGATGTATGCAAGACAGAGGTACACCAGAAGGAAGGGCAGAATGATTGGTGCTAGGAAGAAATACGTTATACCAAGAAGTCCAAAGAAAAGAACCCTTGGAATGTCCCTGTGGTAAGGAATAGATGGAACTTCAATTTCTTCATCCGTACTTTTAGCACAACACTTCGTTATTAGACTGCAAATTAAAGGGATCATGCGAAAAAGTTCCGATGAAGTGCTCGTCCATCCAGATGTGACAACATAAGCAACAAAAAATGATGCCTACAAAAAATAAAAAATATCACGTTCTTGTCATATCTCGCAGTAATTTGTCGATCAGATAATCATCTAGCTGTCATGAATCTCAAAATTGGCTGTTTCAGTCCTCATAGTGGAAGGCTACTAAATTTTTTCCAGCTATCAGTCCTTGAAGAAGTAGTATTAATCCCTCCAGGAGACAAAATGCTCTCAGATCATCTCCTTCCACTTCGAAGAAATTCATTTGAGGTTTTTTTTTTTTTCAGCGTCTTTCCAATATCGACAAGAGGATGGAAGAACAATGCAAGACATGGTTGGTAGAATGAGCATTCAGCAAAGATGTTAGGTTTTTCATCTGCTAAAAACACACACATCGACACAACTCTCTCTCTCATATGAAATTGAAAATTTCAGTCACATATACTCACCTGTGCTGGAACAGCAATAGCCAACTTTGCAGGTATATGCTTGGGGTCAAGAAATATGGAAATCTGATTTAATATGGACCCAGAAAATACAGTGGCAAAGAAGATGTTCCATATTGTGAACCAGAGTACTTTGTTGCATGCACTCCTTTCTATCTCGCTATGAGAAATGTATCCTTGAATGGAGGAAAGAAACTCCATGATTGGAGGCACGACCTTTAGGAACAACTGAAGAATCAGACTAGGAAGATATCCTGTGACTATTTGACTGACAAATGCTCTGCAAGTAAGACTCACAAAATTTAGTATCTTGCATTATTATGGAAGAACAAATCAGCTACAAAGGAGTAATTGTTAATTTGGAATGAAATATGGAACATCTTCACCTCTATGTGTCAAAGAAGAAAAACAAATTCACTAATCTGGAATGAAATAACAGTGAAACAATTCTGCATGCTCTTTCTATTTGTTAGCACATTTCAGATACGTCCTGTGTCAATTTTGGGGAGAGCATCCTTTGGAAAGTAAAAGAAATACAACAGGGATGCCTTGACATATGCTCTGAGAGGCATGGTATAACATTGGACTTCGAAAGGGTCCCACTGGAAAAAGATGCTGCAGTTCATCAAGAAAATACTTCCCTTCCAAAATCAAGGAAAAGTGAACTTAATGCACTGATTATTGATGATCTAGTGGCAGCACGACAACAAATGCCACATCAATCAATTAAAGCATCCAATGTATAAAAAGAGGGTTCCAAAATGGCAATAGAGGATCCCTTGAGAAATAACATATGAAAAAATCCGAATTATTCCAATAATGTCGTTCAGCATTAATACTTAAAATTCATGACCATGGTAACCCATTGAAACCCAACATTTGACATCCATGAAATGGATACTAGGGGCAAGTACCCCAGGATACAATCTAAAACACCAGTGGCCATTCTTTGCTGACAGTATCAATGGATGACTTGAATTTGTACTAAGAAAAAATTAGAAGACAAGAGAGAGTGAGGAGGTTTCCAAGTAAAATAGCAGCAGCAATGATGATGATTGAAATGCCAAGGATGATACAATGGCAACTCTGATAGTACAAGGACTTGAGATCATTACTTACGTGGTTAGAATGCTTTTCAGGAATGGAAACCAAACTTCCAGCTGACTTAGGTTGGTAAGACCTTGTACAACTACAACAGGAATAAGGAACAAAATTGTAAGAAGAATGCACGCAACTACAACCACAAGCTTAGAAATCCATCTTCGCATGAATGATGAAGAAAAAAAGGCCAGTAGACATCATTAGGTTCAGGAGCTTCTTCTGTGAGCCAATGTGTGGGGTTGATTGATTGTTGCAGGTGGAAGACAGTGGAAGCACCATACCGAGACTTGAAAGACACAAAGGCAGCACGAGTGTCCTTTTACAATAGAAAGAAAGTAAATTAATAGCATGCACCACACAACGCCAAAATATATATATAATCAGAAGTATGGAAATCCATAGCAAGAATACAGCATCAGCTTGATTTTGGAAAGCAAGGTTTTCATAGTTATCCTACACCTGAAGATGATGAGTTAATATGAATCATTCCAGTCACAGCACAGTGGCTGCTACCATGAGACTATAAGTACTTCAGAAAAAGTAATTACAGCAAAGTTTCAGTGTTACTCTAGAGCTGTGATGAAAATGAATTCCAAAATAAACCATCCAAAATTTATAAGCAAGCACACAAGCATGCTTTTGAGTGCTCCTAGACTGTATCACAAAAATGGTGCACCGAGAAAGAATGTCGTCTCCTTTGGGGAAGCGAGTTGAAGGAGAGGGGGTAGGGTTATTATCTTCCTTTGTGGTGGGGTGGGAGGGAAAGGACAGGGTTGCCATTTTTCTTTCTCCATAAGCTCTAACACCAACAGAAACATTCAAGGGCCGATTAATCCAAATATGTGCTTTACCATTTTGACTTGGGTTATTCGTTTGACATCTTCATATAAATTTGATAATATAAAAAAGTAAATGGAAATAAAATAAAATTGGAAGGATAAAAGTGGAGCACAACATACTTCTGCCAATGATACCTCTGATTGCTCCAATCTCACATTCTGCTCCAAGTCTTCTAACCTCTTACCATAATGATCCAAAAGATCAACCTTTTGTCTAAGCAATCCAACTCGCTTATACTTCTGTTCAGATGGCTCTGATTGCAAGTGAAGAAGCCTCCTGGACAATTGCTTTGCATCATTCTGAACCCACAAAGAAAAAAAGGGAAATAAATGCTAATTAATCTAAAGGGAGTGGTGTTTCACCAATTACCACATTCCAGTTTCTAATCTAATGGCTAGATTGGTTAACAAATAGCTTGCTTTTTTTATCATTCCATCACTTTGGGATGCAACATGCATTTGGTAGAGGTTTCTTGGACCACTTTCCATTAATTTTGTGATTCCAGAATTGTTTAACAATCAAAGAGAACTATTAGGAATTCTAAGTAGCATATTTCATGTTTCCTACAAAGAAAATGGAGTATCAATTATAAATATCAACTCTCCCACCAGGTGCAATTTTAAAAAGAATTTATGATTACAAATCTGACTAGGAAACTTGCAGCAGGTTTTCTACAACCTTAGGAGAGTAATTACCCAAAAAGACAAAGCTTGGTAGCTACTTTCCCTATAAAATTAATATTTTTTTCAGCAGTTTTGCTGCTTTGATGTACACAAAATTAGTCTGATTCTAAAAGTTGAATTATTCTTAAGGTTAAACTGATTTTCAATTGAGCTTTTTATATAATTGTGATAGGTAAAGAGTATAAGGTCTCTATCAATCATTGCACTACTCCTTTTAATGTCCAATGCAATGGTAAGATTCTTAGACTTATGGCCAAATAGGTTACAAGAAAAAGGCATTACTTACAATGAGGCTCCGAACTTTGCTAGTTCGACGAACAACTATATGCGACAGATATGTGGTAGGGTGATACTCTGTAAAGAAGCTCTCAACACTGTCACTAACACTGCTTCCAACTGAGACAGGGATATTGCGAACTAAAATGGTGAACTGATTTGGCTGAGGTTTCAATGAATAAAAATATGCAATCCTTTTTGAAGAAATATAGTTATATTCCTGCAGAATCAAATACCCATCAGCAGCTGTTAATGTTTCAAGAAATAGCTTATTAATACATTTTGTCAGTTAATTACAAGAGAATTATGATTCAACGCCCTGATAAATAATAAACAGTCTCCTTTCCATACGAACAATATGTATAGATCTACACCAAAATATAAATCTGATTTATCACCTGATCGTGAAAATGGAGTCCTTACATTAACAGTACTAGGCAAAACAATTTGGAGGTAGTCAAATTCTGCTAAAATAAGGATAAACAATAAGCTATAACTGCATAAAACAGAACTTACATAATAAAGTAGACAGCATATGAAAATAGTGACAACATATACAGCAAAGAAGTGAATCCATAACCTGCCAAAATGGCAAAAATGTGTGAGTTTCTCTCCACAATACAGACACAAAAACAAAGTAGATAGCAGATGAAAAAAGTGACAATATGTACAGCAAAGAAATGAATCCATAACCTGCAAAAACGGCCAAAATGTGTCCATTTCTCTACACAGTACACGCTATCCTTACAATGAGAATACTACACTGTCTGATATCCTGGATGTGTTAAGAAGTTAATTCATTTGCAGGCCCTCGCCAAAGCATAAATATGTGAATGTTTTTAATGTGAAAGCAAGCCATCTACTCCGATTTGCTTCATGTTAACTATCTATATGAGTTATGTATCTTTTCTAATAACTGGATTCTTAATTCTGGTTGAAAACCATTTTCCATAACGAATGGAAGCCCAAATAAGCTAACGCCATTCAGACAAATGAGTAGCACTTCTATGCGAATCCATACAAACACCCCCTGAATTATTAGTCATTTGGATAGAGACCCCTTGTTATTTTAGGGTTTGGATTGACACCCCCTCTACTATGCAGAACTATTAATAGATCCATTCTGTTACCTTCCAGTCATTTCTCCGTTAAAAACGCATGTGCTATTCACATGTAATGTAATCAACAATACCTCAAACAAAGATGCTTCTGAGCTTCATTAATTAAGCAGATCAAAACACCATAAGGTCTACAGCTAAAAGCCATAGCAGGAGTTTCAGATTAGTTTTCTAAGCATCATAGCCATTATAATATTGCTAAAAACTGGAAAAAAAATTATGCAAGCAACCTTATCTGCATGATGAAGGACAGTTTCCAAAATTAAGGTTTCAGACAAGGGTTGCTACTGCATATGTTCAAAATAAGAAATGAAGTCTAAAATTGAGATTTACAACGAAAGGCTAAAATAAAAATAGATAGTGGAATGAGAACTGCAGGAATCAAAAGAAACAGCAGTTAAAGCAAATATAACTTCAGGAGCAATTCTAAGCATCAAGGAATTAAGAATATTCACACGGATAATTTTAGCATGTTAGAATTTCTTAAATAAATTGACTGCTGCGCTGATTCATGTTAAAATCAACTTTGCAGGTAAAGCTTACCACTTTGAGCCGCGATTTACATTTGAAATGGTAAATACATCCAGTGAGTTGCTATACAAATCAGAAAAGTCAAATTGGTGAAGCTCAGTTCCCAAACAGTTCACTGGAAGAAGAATAAATATCCCTATTATCCCAGCGAATGAAAATACTTTCAAACTGCAGTAAGGAGATAAAGCAAGAATAATTAAAGCTTTGTTTAATGGAAAATAAAATGCTTCATTGAGTAGGACTAAAATTACCTGAAAGTTATAATTCGCATATACACCACGGCATCCAAGCCTGACGAAGACAACATCTCCTCTTCCGATACCTTCCATGCCTTTGACAACCAACCAGTAGATGGTATTAGCCTTTCAAGATTGAAACGGCTTCTCCGTTTAGAGTTCCCTTCCGCGAGCAAGCGCGGTACATAAACTTCATAATGACCTGGTTGTTTCTTCAGTATAGAGTACAGTACGAAGAAAAGAACACACAGAGCAGAGTTTATCCCCACTGATGTTAGAAGAGCGGAAACGAGCATTTCAACAGAGCAGTCTCGAAACCTCCAAAAACACGAACGAACTCCTAAACAGCAGCAAGAACAAGATTGCGCTCCAATCACGATTAAGACATGATAATCACTTTACAGTTTGTTACTTCAAATTAATCACTGCTTCTCGCACTCTCAGTAAAAGCTAACAACAGTAAAAAGCAAAATCTAATGCAGAGCTTAATTAATTTGATTTCTTTCATATAAGTTGACCAAGAAGCAAAAATGATGCTCCAGAAAAAAAGAAACCCTAAAACATCGTAAGAAAAAAAGTGAGTGGAGAAAATTCACACCTCGTGCGGTTTGGATTTTGCTGCTGCAGCTGATTGTAATAGAAACGAAATGCTCTGCTGAGTAAAGCAATCCAAAAACTAATCTAATGTGTGGTGCGATTGTAAGTACGTAACCGTAGATTAGTGACTTGCAGGAATAGAATTTGGTACTGTTTTGCAGAGATTTTAGTAGGTAGCTCGAACGTGCATATAGAATGACGGTTCTAGGATTGCTTATTTTGTTTGCTAATTAATTGCCTGTAATACCCTTGCTTCTTTGCTTGTTTCAGTACGGCAAATGAAAAGAGGGAAAAAAGGCAAGTGAGGAATGATATAAAGTGTTGTTTGCTGGTGGAGAACAGGGATGATTTGGGGATTTAGAGTATGGGAGGAACGGTTGGTAGCAACGTCTTTGGAGGGTCATCGTCTAAACAACCCGCCAGCAGCCACGTGTTTCTTTCTCTCTCTTTTCAAAACAAAGCACGGCAAGGGCCGTTGGCGTTTCTTTTATAGCCAAAAACAGCTCCGCTTTCCTCTGGAGGATAGGATAGGGATTTAGACAGTGGCACATTGGGGGGAAAAAAAGGGGCCTGGTTTAAGACTCGTTAAGTTTAACAAAGAAAATAAGTTTACACTAAATAAAATAGTCTTAACTTAGATAGAATACTGCAAGATTAAAAAAGAAAGTTGATAGTTTAGGAATTCTAAATGAATATTGAAACAAAATTATAAATTTGGTAAAATAAGTAGAGTTATCCAAAATATTAAAGAAAGTATACATTTTAAACAACAAACGAAATGAATTATTGCAGTTCAGAAGAATTACAAAAGTATTTGATGAAAAGAAAGATTAAAAAAAAAAAAAAACTAAATAAAGCTACAAAAAATTGAAACAATATGATGAATAATTATTACCATGAGAAGTGTTACCCATCCAGACTATCTTTAAAGGTTTAATTACAATCTTGGTGTGAAATTCTTCAAATCTAAAGAAAATAATCTCAATAATCTTGAAACATAATGCAAACATAAGTTTAAGAAGAGCAAAAAGTAATGGACGATTTTTTTATCTGTCATCACATTTCCATACTAATCTCATTATTTTTGTGAAAATATTGTTAGATTCCGTTCAAAATCGATTTTCACCACGTGGGTTGTATTTTCAGCTTGTTTTTTTTTTTTTTTTTACTAAAATATTCATGAGAATTCTCTCATAAACCTCCTAATCACAAACATGACTTAAAAACATGTTTTTAATCAATAATTCAACACAAAGATTTATATTTAAAGTTTTTAGAATTACAATCTATTAAATCTCGTGATAAAATCCTATAATTTTGATGTTTGTAGATTTTTTTAGTGTTAGTTTTCATTTAATGGTAGTATTGACTAATTTTATAGTCGGATTACATCTCTCTAAAAATTCATGTTTTTTCCCCTTTATTATATTCCTCTCTCTTTTTAATATTCGTCTTGTTTCTCTATATACTTCTATTGTATTTTTGAGTTTTCAAATCCAACATTGAAAACTAACTTAATAACATTAGTATTTTAGATTTGAAATGGGGGTAGAAACCAGGATTATAAAATGTTTAAATGGATAATATTTTTTTAAAAAATCATCTAATGTTTCACTCCGGACATCCTTATTTTTGTCTCGTAAATGAAAACAAAAATGAATTTTTGTCATTATCTTTTCAATCAAATGATAAATTCATGTCCTTGAATACGAAGCATGCATAGCCTTAGAAATTAGTAGAATAAGACTAAAAAGATTAAACCTCTTCTAAATTTTAATATATTTAAAATTGATTTTTGAATTTTTAATTTATATTTTGACATTTTTAAACTTTATTTTTTTTTAGATTTAGGTAGTGTTAGATAGAACTAAAAATTAAGTGCTTGTTATAAGATAATGAATGTCCATCTACTTTTCATATCTTCACTACTCATGATCCTTAATGTGATTCAATTCACCATTCAATATGAGAAATTGAAAAGGCAATGCAATTGATGTAGTTTTAATTATTCATAGTCCTTTTCAATTCTCATCTCAATTGTAAGGCCTACAAATAGGCTTGATTGTTCATTTGTTGATGTACAAGTTTTTAGAGAGATTAAGAGAATAACTTGAAGTTTTTCTCACTTGTATTCACTTTATAGTGAATTCTTCTTCTTGTCATCCTTCCTTTAAATTCTCATATTACTTTTGTTTTTTCATAACACGTTATCGACACGATTGTTCTACCAAACGACGCAAATCATCTAGCTCTATTAAGAGAATTTTTATCATGTCAAACCTCACAAAGCTTGATTTTGTGACTCTTGACATTTCGGGCAAGAATTATTTATCATGGGTGTTTGATGCTAAGATACATTTAAATGCTAATGGCATTGGACAAATAATCATGAATGATAATCAAGAATCCTTGCAAAACCGTGCTAAGGCAATGATCTTCCTTCGTCATCATCTCCATGAGGATTTTAAAACTGAATATTTAACGAGTGAAAGATCCACTTGAATTGTGGAAAAATTTAGAGCAAAGATACAACCACCAAAAGACGATAATTCTTCCAAAAACTTATTATGATCTGGATGCACTTGAGGTTACAAGATTTCAAAACCGTAAGTGAGTATAATCCTGCAAGCATTTAGAATCAGTTCCCAACTAAAATTATATGGAGAAAATATTATTGATTATGATATGTTAGAGAAAACATTATCTACTTTTCATCCTTCGAATATGCTCCTGCAAGACAGAATATCGAAAAATAAGTTTTAAGAAATACTCCGAATTGATTTCATGCCTACTTGTGGCTGAAAAAATAACGAGCTATTGATGAAAAATCATGAATCCCACCCAATTGGATCTACTCCATTCAATGAAGTGAATGTAACATCTTATAATAATTTTGAGCGTGAACGTGGTCGTGGCAATAGTCGTGGTCGGAATAATTATCGTTATAATCGTGATGGTAATAATAATACTCCTTATACCTAGAAGTGGATAAATTATGAAAAAAAAAACAAGAAAAGAATAAAAGTGGATCAAGTCAGCACTCCGAAAATAAATGTTATAGATGTGGTATGAAGGGACATTGGTCGCGTATTTATCGTATGCTAAAACACACAATTGAGCTTTATCAAGCCTCATTGAAAAAGAAAGAAAGTGATATAGAGGCAAATTTTATATATCAAAATAATGTTTGTGACAATGTTTCTCTCGAAGATTTCGGTAACTAAACACATTTAGATGTTGCTAATTTCTTTGAAGATTTTGAAAGAAAAAATTATTAGGTTAATGATAATTGTTTGAAATTTTGTTACCTTTTTGATAAATAAAAAAGTTTTATGTTTTATTTCATCATATTAGTTACCATTTTTATTTTTTTTATTTTTTTATGTTTATAAAGAATATATTGATATTACCAAGTTTGCAATTGGTTTAAACGTCGTGGAGGAGAATATATACCTCGTGAATAGTGCAACCACACATACTATACTTAAAAATAAAAAATATTTCTCCAATTTAATGATGGGCAAGACTAATGTTAACACTATATCCGGTAGTGTTAATTTAATTGATCGCTCTTAAAGAGCAAATATATTACTATTCGGAGGGATAAATTTGATTATAGATGATGCATTATTCTCTTTAAGTCCCACATAAATGTATTGAGTTTTAAAGATATTCGTTTAGATGGATATCATATTGAGACAACAAATATTGAGAATATTAAGTACTTATCTATTATAAAAATTAAATCAAGTAGAAAATATGTATTAGAGAAATTACCTCCTTTCTCTTCCGGCATTTATTATACAAATATTCAAATAATTGAAACAAATGTCATAGTAAACCGAAGTTTACTAATCCTTTTATTTTGTGGCATGACCAATTGGGCCATCCTGGATTCATTATGATGAGAAAAATTGTTAAAAATTCGTATGGACATCCATTGAAGAACTAGAAGATTCTTTAATCTAATGAGTTTTTATGTTATGTATGTTCTCAATGCATACTTATTATTAAGTCTTCACCAAATAAAATTGGGATTGACTCTCTAGCATTTTTAGAACGTATACAAGGTGATATACGTGGACCAATTCATCCACCATATGGACCGTTTAGATATTTTATGGTTTTAATAGATGCATCTACAAGATGGTCACATGTATGCTTATTACAACTTGAAACCTGGCATTTTTGAGGTTACTTGCTCAAATAATTTGATTACGAGCATGATTTTTAGATTATACCATTAAAACAATTCGTCTTGATAATGTCGATGAATTTACATCTCAAGCTTTTAATGATTATTATATGTCTATTGGAATAAAAGTTGAATAGCACTTGTTGCTCATGTTCATACTCAAAATGGTCTAACGGAATCATTTATCAAAAGTCTCCAATTGATAACTAGACAATTACTTATGAAAACAAAACTTCTTTTTTGTGTTTGGGGATATGCAATTTTACATGCAACAACACTTATTCGCATCAGGTCTACAAGTTATCATAAATTATCTTCCCTTCGATTGGTTTTTTGTCATGAACCTAATATTTCTCATTTGAGGATTTTTGGATGTGCGGTATATGTCCCAATTACTCCTCCATAACGAACTAAAATGGGTCCTCGGAGGAGATTGAGAATATATGTTGGATATGAATCTCCTTACGTAATTAAATATCTTGAACCATTAACATGAGATGTTTT